TTTGGGTTCTGACCGCACGGAATGGAATCTTTCATGGTTCACTCTACACTGTGTGAAGCCACGAATTGCCACTTTCATGTGGGTCACGTTTAAACTGATGAAACTCCCAATGCTCAGAGGACGAACGCATGTAATACTACATCTGGGTACTGAGTTGATGTGGAAGGACACGACTCGACCCCGAGCCGATTACCTGTGAGCATTGTACGTGGCTGCTAATGCACTCGCAGTCTTCGGAAATCTATTAGTGTTGCAGGAAAATGACAGTTTCAAGGCCATGGTCAATCTAAATAGCATCCCAGACTTGGTGTATAGATGATGGTTAACACACGCGGCGTGTTATGCACTGGCCGGGAGTGTGAACATCATCTAAGAAAACCTCATGGGTTTTTGGGGTCGGTTCTTCAGGGAAGTTGCAGTTCTTGTTGGACCGCTAATGCCTCCTAAGAAGGCTCCGCCGAAGAAAGATGGCGCAGCAGATGAGAAGGATTATGATCTCGAGAACTTCATGTTGCAGAAACGGCTAGAAGTGATCCAGCATCGGATTCAACTCAAAGAGGAAGTCATTGTAGTGATAGGGCCGCACTATTATCGCGGCCGCATGGATGTTGGTTCAGGCTGAATGTCAAGAGAAAATGGAGGAGCAACGGAAACGGAAAGGTATCGTATGCCAACGTATCGCAGCCGCCGCTATGCTGTTGAATGTCGGTTTCTCAGCTGATTTGGAGAGTCAGAGTAAGCGAGAGTTGGAGAGACGGGAAGAAGTGCTTGCTGAAATGACACGACAGTTCAATGAGATGCAGAACAGTTTTACTGACCGCATCGTTGATTTGAAGGAACAGGTTAAGAGGGCCCAGGAAGACATAGGTAACTGTAGTCTCCGTCGCGGCGTATTCACTTCTCTCCGCTGTTCAGTTGAGGTCGAGAACATGAAGGAAACGACACGCAGAGAGAAGGATGATGAAATCGCTAGAAAAGTACGGGGGAGCTCTATGTGTCTGTGTGGGGCTACAGTAGAGGCATGATCAGGGTGGTTGAGTCGAATTGTCATCGTGTCTCAGGACGAGACTATTCGACAGCTCACGCTCAAGATGGAAGCTATGGCAT